TAGCATTGCAGTTTTGCCAGCACCGTTTGTTGAAGAGGTTATCATTTCCTCATTTGATGGATTTTTTTTTTACTTGTTGATTATCAGTTAGCCATGGATATTGTTGCTATGTGCCATCAAGTTGCCTGTGATCTTAGTGACTCTGTGTACAAAAGCTCTGAAACCTGCCTTATCCTGAGTCAGCCTCACTGACTACGACACACCTACCCCATGACCCTAGTTCTCTGTGTCAGTCCACCTCAACTAGGGTCTTCCTCTCCTGCTGTGTCTCTCCACCCTTGAGAGCATGATGTCCTTCTGCAAGGGCCATTCTCTCTTGGCCACTTGCCCTAAGTATGTCAGACAGAGCTTCAGAATCCTAGCCTCCAAGGAGAAACTTAGTTTCACCCTTTCAAAGACAGACCTGTTTATTTTCTTGGTGATCCATGGTATGTTCAGTACTCCATCAGCACAACTCAAAGGCATCAATTTTTCTGTCATCCTTAATCATTGTCCATGCATAGCAAGTAATTGCAAAGACCATGACCTGGATCAGTCACATCTTAGTCTCTAGATTGACATCTTTGCTTCTGGGTACTCTGGAGAGGTCCCTGACAGCAGATTTTCCCAGTGCAATTTGTCTTTTGATTTTCTGACTGCTGGTGTGAAGAGTATTGATTGTGAAGCTGAGCAAGCTGAAATTGTAACCACCTCAACCTCTTCTCCATCTATCCTGGTGCTGCCAATTGGCCCAGTGTTGAGACTCTGTTTTCTTTATGTTGAACTTCATATTGAAGACTACAGTCATTGACCTTCTGTAGCCAGCACTTCAGGTCCTCCTTGGTTTCAGCAAACAAGATTGTGTCATCTGCATATCACAGTTGTTGATTAGTCTTCTTCCAATCCTGATGCCACATTCCTCCTCATAAAGGCCAGCCTCCTAAATGATCTGTTCTGCATATGCATTGAAAAGTACGGAGTACGGAAATGGGATGCATCCCTGATGCACTTCTTTCCTGATTTTGTTACTTGTAGGGGAATCCCACTGACTTTTGTTTATAAAATTATTCTTTTGGAGTTTTTTCCCTTGGGTTTTCTAAGACAGACCACAGGCTTGCCGTAGTATTCTGCATCCTACCCAGAAGTGGAAGTTTCCGTCTTGGTTTGGGCTCTGATGTTTGTTAGCCTCCCTGCACACAGTCATCTCCCTCCTTCAGTCCTCGAACCGCAGCTCTTTAAAGCCTTGTATTCATTCTTAACACCTTACCTTGTCTCTCATTGTGAAATTTAGATAATAAAGAATTTACCAAGTAAGATGCCTATAAATGTCAGCTGACCACATTTCCTTCACCATTACTTTGTGATCAGATCCTTTCTCCTGTAACTGGCAGAGATGTAGCTATTCTGGTAAAGCTAAATTCTCTGATTTCTCTTGCCTTCCTTAGTGTGCATCTCTTTTATCTCCTTTCATTTCTTCTCAGTGACTCCCTTCTCTTCACATATAAATAGACTTGGAGCTGTGCTACAATCCCAAAGGCACACAGATCGTATCTACCAGCTGCTCAGTGGGAGAAAGATGGGCAGTCTCCTCCTGTGCAGTTAAGATACCTCTGGAAATTCACTGGAGGGTCAGCTCTGACTTGACGGTACATCACCACCATAACCACAAAAAATAGTATCTACATCTTAAAGTGAAAAACTCCTCAGGTTCTGTGTTTTCCTCTGTCTCCTTTTATCATTCATAGCTTCTTTTGAAAGAATAGTTTTAACTGTTTTCTTCCATTCATCTTATTATTACTTCCCATCCTTACTGCCTTCTGATGTACATCCCTACTCCAGTGAAATTCCAGTTTTTGAGGTGATTATAACTTTTTTAATTTTAAAAGTCTTTTTAATTATTAATTTTAATAAAAAATTACAGATACTTTGATTTCCTTCATTCACTTTTCTTCCTGCCCCATCACTCCTGCCCAGTTCGCTCTTCTCTTTGAAAAGTAAAATAAAAATTGTTTCATTGTTATATAATCCCTCCCCCCAAGTCCACTCCACTATGCAGCCAGAATGAAGACTATAACTGTTTCATACTTAATATTGCTTCTAGTTATGCCAAACTTTCAAGCCAAGGTCTGAAGTTCAAAGACAGGCACAGTCATGCATAACCTTTGATGCAGCAATTTTTTATCACATAGAGATGCAGCAAAGCAAGGTCAGCTTCAGCAGTGGACAACATCACATTCAGCAGATCAATCCCTGCAGCCGTTTCAGGGCTGCATGCACCACTCTTGTGCTGCAGACGAGCAATAACCTTTCCTTCTCACAGGGAGAGAGATTTGTGCAGGTTCTCTTGTGACACACACGCTTAGCAGCAGAAAGGGAGGGGACCCAGCCCATGGAGGGCCAGTTCCCAGTCTGCTATCAGAAATGCACCAGCCTAGGATTCTGGTGATACAGTCCCTGTGAGAGTGTCAGGGGCCTGCAGCAAACCCCCTTCCACTATTAAGCTCCATACATGCACCTAGGCCCTTATACCCAACTCCTTCCTCTATGTTTGACAAGGTTGGTGACACTGTAATTTTTTTCAACTTTTTCTCTTAAGATTTTCACCTGAGTTTTAGATCCAAGTAAGCTAACCCGTGAGCATTTACACAAAACTCTCAAACCCATGTCTGAAGCTAAACAACTCCCTTATCCGTTCAAGAACTTTGTCCTTATCTCCTGTCTTGGGGAACAGTAAGCTGCCAGGTTTGCCAAACAGTGAAGTTATTCTTGACTTTTCCTCTGTGTTAATCTTGTTCTCTGCTTATTCATTTCTACCTCCTTGTCATCTCTTTTCCTTTTGCTTCATATAATTGCTCCTAGGGCTCTCTGCTTCCTAATAACTTCTCTGCCTTTAGCTTCTTTCCAAATGTCATTGCACAGAATTAGGTAGAAATGACATCACTTTAAAGTCTAATTTTCAATACTTATTTGTCAGTATCTGACTCACCTTATTTTTATAAGGACTTTTTTTAATAATAATATTTTTATTAAAGCAATTGAGTTCTTTATGTGCCTGTTAAAATGTTTGTTGGTTCCTTATAGTATATAGGCTGATTCAATTCTTTAGAGGATTGTAATACCAAATGTCTTTCAGCTGGAGTTTCTCCTTTTTCATTAGCATTTAAAAATTTAAACTAAATAAGGCTTTTTGTAAAATAGTTCGAGGAGATGATATCCCATCTCCCCCCTTCTGTTTTTTCAACCTAGCTTTTCAGAGCAGAGTATATTCATGTAAGTTTAGTAAACTAGAATCTCACAAAATTCTAAATGTTATATATTCCAGATGTATTGATATCCATAGGATTTAGATTCTGTAGCAAGTCACAAAATAACATTTTCTCAAATTTCTGTAATAAAAAATAAACATTATATATATAAATGCAATTACAGCCATACTAGAAATTTCAACAAAGCAAAAAAATAGAAAATTTAAAAAAAAACACACATATGTTAACAACCATATATGTAGACAGGTATTTTAGTAAAAAGAAAACATTTAGGAAAAAATACATTTTAAGGAATTTTACTATCAGACTTATGCAAAAAAATGAATGTCTTTTTAGTTAAAGATCACAGTAAGCCACAGAAAAAAACACACCCCAAAAAGAAGAAAACTAACATTTATCAGAAGTACACAGCAATCATAAAAGAAATGTTCTAATCTTCCTCATTAAAATCTGAAACATTATTAATTTCAAAGTCATCTAAATCTTACTACTGTTATTTCATATTACTGTGAAAGTTTTATTACCCAAAACTTTCAAAAACAAGACTCATATCATCTTGGGCAAAGTTGAGAAGAACGTGAGATTGTTATAACCAGAGGGGCATTATCATGGTGACAGCTCCTGGAGTAATTCCATGAGTCCAGAATGCTCTTCCTCCTCAGGGGGGTCCTCTCCTTCTGAATGTTTTCTGTTGCCCGTGAACACATTGAGGGCAGAGTTGTGTGCAATTCAGGCCAATAGTGGGGGCCTACCAGAGGTAAGGAAAATCCCAGTCATGCTGGTCCCGGTCATCATGGTGGTTCTGATGGACCATCATATACCCACAGTAATTTGGCACCAGGTAATTATTCAGTAACATTTTTCTGTGTGTGAAGAAAAGAGTACTTTTTATAAACTGACATGTAGCAGTATTTTTAGTGATTTGATAAATTTGTATAGAAGGATGAGTATTTTATGTCTTTACCACTTCATAATTGGTGACACCCAGGATCATCAAGTGTGAACACTTGTATAGCAATATAAATTTAATGACATAATTGAATGAATATAGCCAATATATAAAGGTATAGCTGTTTGTCTTCTTAAAATTAGCAAGTTATTTCTAATGTATTGAGGAATTAAAGACCCATTAATTATTATGTTCTTTTTCATTTATATATCAGAAAATGATAATCTGAAAGGTAAACTGACTTGTTTTTAACAGCTAGTTAGTACCAGAATAATTAATTTTAAAACTAATAAATTCTAAATGTTTGGGTTTGGTTCAATTAATTTTCACAGTATTACTGTAAGGTGCTGTCATGTTATCTCTGACTCATAGTGACTGCATACAAGTGATCGAAACCTTGCTAGATCATCCTCATATCCTCCCCTCTGCCTAAGCCCATGGTTGCAGTCACTCTGTCAGTCTGTCTTGCCAAGGGTCTTTGTCTCTTTCACTGACCCTTTACTTTTCCAAGCATAGTATCATTCTCCAAGGACTGGCTACTCCTGAAAGTGATGATGTCCTTGATTCTGAGATCACAGGCTGCACCTCTTTCAGCTCAGATGTGTTAGTCAGTCCACAGTGCTTCAGTACTGTACGCCAGCAATACAGTTCAAAGGCATCATGTCTTTGGTCATCCTTGTACAGTGTCCAGTGTTCACATGTACATGAAACAATCTATGTATTGCTTATTTGTAATAAATTCAGCTATAAAATGAATGACAGTCAAAAGGAATGTAAACTAATCAGTATGATTTGTTTGTATACAGTGAGAGAATCGAAGACGCTACTGACCATAATTCTGAAAAATATCATAACAATTAGTAAAAGAGAAGGGAAAGAATTACTTTTGTATTTTGATGAGTCATTAGAAATCGCTAATGTGACTAAAAAAATTTTTGGTGCAAATAAGTATAGGGTAAGTGCTTTCAATTCTTTCTTAAATACTACTTCACAATTCTGGAAACTTTCATTTTGATCTAGAAGCTTGATGATTCCCCCCACACACACCTTTCCTAGACTTTTTAAAACTACATGTAAAATTTTTATTTCTGATTATGTATTATTGGATAGTAGTCTTCAAGTTTTCAGTCATACCCTTTGCAATACCTGTAAGAAGGTATCTCAGATAACAAAATTAGCAGTAGCTGTTCAAAACATTTAATGAATTCTGCAAGTTGTTTATAAAGTGACTATAAGGCAGAGCCTTGTTCTCAACATAATGAACACTGCTCATGAGTTACTCAGATAACTCCTCAGAAGAACTAAGTATACTGAGAAAATGTGAGAAAAGTTAAAGAAGAATATTCTTTAAGTCAGATTTCAAGTATTGTTTTGGACCTACAATCTGAAATACCTAGTAAATTTGAGAAATGTATAGAATTTGTATGCACAATATCAAGGATTGTGCAGACATTATGAACCAGAAATTGTTGAGCTGAGAAAATGTGGTGGCAATTCATATGATATTTTGAGAAGATGGATAACTGTGGACAAATTTGGTAAGTGACAAAGATTGAGGTCAGAGAATTAGTAGGAGATAACCTTGGGGACAAACCCTCAGAGTAGGACTAGGACTAGGGTAGTCAGATAAAGAGATGGGTGAGAGAGAGTCATTGAATTTCTGAGAATATTAATAAATGCAAAGTAATTGTTTAAAGTAATTGGACAATTTTGAAGGAAAGAAAAAATAACTGTTTTCTGTCTATATAAAATACAATTTTGTTAAAAATTCTATTTTCTATAAAGGTAAAAAGAATTGAAAGGCATAATAATTTAATTTTTTTTTACTTTTAGGAATTTACCAGAAAGCAAGGTATTTCAGTTGCCAAAACATCTGTGCATATACTTTTTGATGCAAGTGGATCCCAGGTATGTCTCTTTAATTTTTATCAGCGAACTAAGCTTGATTCTAGGTAATAGGACAATAATAAAATTGACTTTGGAATTTAAATTAAATAACTTTAAAGTGGTCTCCACAAAATAAAATGCATGTAATTTTTGGTGTGTTACTTCTAGCTCCTCTAGAAGCACCTGTAAAGAGAGATCTGCTAGTCTACTTCTGCAAAATCAGCCTTGCTAGCCTCTGATGGACAGTTCTGTTCTGATACAGATAGCTTTAAAAACTAGACATAAAAATCTCAAATGTCAAAACATCAGTGTGTGTTTGTCTCTATTAATGTTTCAAAAAGTGGATATTTTGTGTTTGGCTATTTTTTATACATGCACATGTCATCAGAGGGCTAAGGAATTACAGTGGGTAGAAGTGTATGGGTTGAAAGAAGGAGTCGGCTTTGGTACATCTGAGATTAGCAGAAGCTCAAGATGAGTAAGACACACAGAGATTTGAAGACATTTTAATGGTTTGAAGTTTTAAATTATTTCCTCTTACATTCCCAACAGATTCTAGTACCAGAGAGTCAAGTTTCACCAATTGAAGAAGAACCTACTAGTTTAAAAGAAAAACCTGGTCTCCCAACAGAACTTGCTAAACCTTCAAATTATATTAAAAACGTTAATCAGGAAGACAGGGAAACTAGTCAACTACAGGTAAACAGTAGTTACAAAAGTCTTTTTTAAAAAAACTACCATAAATCAAATCAGTGCTTTACTTAAGTACAGGGGGAAAAAATACCATGTGGAATGTATGTAGTAATGTCTTTAAACTTTGATAAAGATCACTTTACAGTTTTTTTCAACTTCTGCAAATACCAAAAAACATAGCATTTTAGCAAATGTTGTGTAGATGCAGTTTTTGTAAGTTAAGAGGCTTAGTGCACATTTTTTTAAAAAAAAAACTTGTAATTTGGAAGTTTTAGTTATTTGAAATAGAACCCAATTCTCCTTCCAAGGGACTTTCTGTAAGACCAAGCAAATGACATACTTCTCTTTGATAAATTACAATTCACACTGACAACAATAAACACACTGGTGACTATTCTACCTTGGCTAGTTATGAAAAAGGAATTTTCTTACAAATCCAGTTGAGCCTTCCTTTTATTTCTAAACATTTATGCACTAGTCTAAGTTATAAAAATGAAAACCAGCTAGAATTCTAAATATAAACAAACTATTTACATTTGTTTACACTTTTAAATTTCAAATTCAAGATAAAATGGAAACAATTGGCTTGAGTATGACCGAGATCATGAAGACGGTGCTGGATAGGACAGCGGTCAAATCTGTCATTCCTAGGGTCACTGTGAGTTGTAATTGACTTGATGACATGTAACACAGCATTTCTTTTTGCACTTTGCCAAGACATAGAGTATACATTTCTGATGTTCTCTTTATTTTTTTCCCTTCCTCCTCAGAAGATATCCCAAAGGCCACATCCACAAGAATCATCTCTCAGACTCTTTTTCCACATCTGCCGGTACCATTTGACTTGGCCAACGGTCTTGCTTGCTTGCTTTTTTTTTTCATTTTATTAATTTTAATGAACATTTACAGAGAATTAGAATTTCCATAGTCCTTGCTTTCTTGAGGCCATATTCTCCCTTGACTTCTATTTTACCATCTGATTTCTTTTTCTTATTACTACTTCAGTGTGTGTGCGTCTCTCCCCACCTTCTAAAGACTTGATCCCAGCCAGGTGAACATGTCTGTGCCTTTCACTTCAACTTCTCTCATCTCTGTTGTTGATAATGCCCTCTTGGAGGTTTTTCCAAATCTTTTCTTGAAGTCTAGCCTCAAACTCCTATCCTTTACCTTAAATCTGAATCCACTTCTGTACTTGAGTAATGCTGCTGTGATGTTTTCCGGTGAGATCCGTGATTCTGCTCTCCTCTCACATGTAGAGCAGGCTGCTCGTGGTGAGCTTTCCCTAGCCTCTCACTTTTCCCACTCATTCTCTGTACCCTCAGCTCATCTCTTCTGTTTCTTCACACTTCGTTTAATACAGTTGACTCTTAACTGTCTTACCTCATTATTTTGCCCTGAGTTACCAGTTACTGTGTACTACCTGTTGTCATATGCAGGTGAGTCAGAATCTACCCTCCAGCAGGTTTTCAGAGACAGTAAATCTCATGAGAGGCTATTGTTCATCTTTCTCCCAGGGAGCAGTGGGTGGACTCAAACTTCTTGCCTTTGGGTTGGCAGTGAAGCTTTTTACCACTAGGCCACAAGAGCTCCCCTTGTTTTTCTTAAATACTATTATCATGATAGGATTCTTCTACTCAAACAGCTTGAAAGGCTCTGGGCCTCACATACATTGATTTTAAGTTTTGCCTCATTTCTGACCTTTTGTAATTTAATTTTACTCTCAGTTAACCATAGTTTATGTTTTGCTTCAGTGAGGTCATTTGCTTTACTCTCTTTGTGTATCGCACCTTCATCCCCTTTGTTTGTTGCTTTTGACGTTAGATCAGCTAAAGCACATGCTCACACCTCAGTTCAGTTTCACCCTCTTTATGGCATGATCTGACTGTTTCTCTTCTTACTATCTCTCATCTGTGAGTAGCTAGAACTCTCTATTTCAGATATGCCAGCATGCTTGTATCATTCACTTCCCCCACTTTTAATCTTCTGTTTTCAGTTAGCTCAAAAATGCCATTTTAAATGTCCTTAAATGCTTAGATTTTAAAATTTCTTGTGGGTTTTTATCAGAATCATATTGAGTGTTTTTTTAGATTCATGTGGCAATTATCGAACAATATCATTAATATCACATGCAAGCAAGATTCTGCTGAAAATTATCCAAAAATGGGGGTCTGCTATACCTTTTCAATCTGTATGCAGAACAGATCATCCAGGACACTGGGCTGTACGAGGCGGAATGTGGTATCAGGACTGGTGGAAGATTCATCAACAACCTCCATTATGCAGATGACACAACCCTGCTTGCTGAAACTGAGGAGGATCTGAAGTGCTTGCTGCAGAAGGTCAAGAACTGCAGCCTTCAATATGGATTGAAGCTCAACAGCAAGAAAACAAAGATTCTCACTGCTGGGCCAATGGGCAGCATCAGTAAGAACGGTGAAGAGATTGAGATTGTTAACAGTTTCAGTTTGCTTGGCTCCAGAGTCAATAGCAGCCAGGAAATCCTCTCCAGAGTATGAAGAGCAACGACATCAGGCTAGAGACTAAGGTGCACATGATCCGGGCTATAATCTTCACAATTGTATGCTGTGCATCGGAGAGTTGGACAGTGACTAGGGGTAATAGAGAATTGATGCCTTTGAGCTGTGATGCTGGAGAAAAATGTTGAATATACCATGGACTGCTAGGAGGACAAACAGGTGCATCCTGGAGAGGATGAAGCCGGGCTGCTCCTTTCAAGTCAAGGATTTTGAAGCGTCTTCTGACATACTTGGGGCATGTTGCAAGGAGGGACTAGTCCTTGGAGGGGGACATCATGTTTAGGAGAGTGGAGAGACAGTGAGGAAGACAGAGGGGAAGCTCTTGATGAGATGGATCAATTCAGTGATTGGGAGAGTAGGAGTAGGTGTGTTGGAGACATTGAGGTTTGCACAGAATAGAGAAGGGTTTAGGGATCTTGTTCCTAGGGTAGCTGTGAGTCGCAAGCGAGTTGATGGCACATAACAACTACCACCTTAAACTTATGAATTATAAACTGAGGAAAATGTCTTAAGCCTACACTGTTTAGAAAATATTGTCATGTTGTTAGGTACTCACTGTGTTTTCCATCAGTAAGAGTTGAAGCATTTGTGTTTCATATCATAATAATACACATTTAGTCACAGTGATGCACTAAAGTGTTCAACTACTCACCAAATGGTTGGCAGTTCAAACTCACTATTTGGTGCATGGGAGATAACGTCTCCTGTAAAGCCTTGGAAACATGATGGAGGGTTACCATGAGTTGGCATTGACTAAGTGGATTTTTAAGATGATACACTATACAATCAGTCAGTGGCTTAGGTGCAAAGAATTGCACTGCCAGTGCAAATGTATGTGGTTCAAATCCACTAATGGCTCCACGAGAGACAGATGCGCAGTCTGCTCCAGTGTGATTTACTGCCTCTGAAAACCCACTGGAAAGTCAGTCATGGATCAGTTCTGACTTGATATCATACAACAGGACACTCAATATGCAGAAGTATAGTTCTGAGAGGGAAGTAATAGTTTAATGGCTTGTTTTCTGGGTAAGTTTACAGTTCTCTTTGTCCTCTTTTTCCTGCACCCCACATACATACCTGTTTACCAATGCTTTGATTCTGCTTCTTCCTTAAGATCAGGTGCCTTCTTTACAGCACCTCTCAAACCTCTATCCATGTCTGCCACTGTCCACCCCGCAGGGCCCCACAGACGCCCACCTCTGCTTAGCCACTTCTGGTGCTCTTGTAAGCTGCAAACAGGTATTGGAACCACTAGCCTCTATGTGACTAGCCCTAACAGAGCTACCATAAGTTATGGCTTTAAAGATAGTCACTCTCTTTGAATTTAAAAAGCTAAAAGCCCAAATTCAGGATCCCAACACTTAGGAAAGGCATAGAGTTGCTCTCTGTAGCCCAGGTAGTCCTTGGAGAGTTCCATATTTCCTGGCGTCAAGGAGCTTCCTTCACAGCACAGGGGCAGGCATCTCAAAGGATAAACTCTACTCCTGGTGATAATTTCTTGCCAGTACTTGACCTAGTGATAAGAAGCTGTGCTGCTGACTTGAAAGCACAAAGTTGGAATCCATCGCTACTCCATGGAAGAAAGATGGGCCATCTCCTGTGTGACTTACAGACTTGGCAAGCCCACTGGAGAGTCAGCTGAGTCAGTGCCCATTCAAAGGCACATAACAAATGGCACTGAGGTTATCTTAGATCACTTTCTTCCTCCACTATCTCTAGCAAGATAAAAGGTGTTGCACTCTACAGAAACTCTTCTTGTGTCTAATCAGGATTGGGCTGCATTTCACTCTTAATCCTCTTGCAGCTATTTGGTTTATCAGATAATGAGGTTTCATAAATATTTTTGAGTTGACACAATTCAATCCATGACACTCTGAGCTCCTAAGGGCAGTTTAGTCTTTAGAGAATTTAATTTATGCAGATACAATTGTGCTTAAGTATGTATCCCAGTATCATAAAAATGGATACCTTATAAAATCAAACAGGATATTGTGAGCCATTAACAAATGTATATTGAAGTGCTGCATTTCTTAAGTGTGGCTCTTCTTAAAATATTCTTTAAGACGGTGTTTTTTGACTACATGATAGCTTACTTGGGACCAAATGAGAGGAAAACTCTGAAGTCAGCCTAAAATACAGCAAGTTGGGCATATGATCTTGTAGTTACAAATCTCTGTCCATTGTATGTAGTCAAGACAAAATATTGTAAATAAAAGTATGTGATATTTAATTTCAAAGAGAATATATGCTTAAATCGCTTTTTCTTATTATTTAAGGTAATCACTCCTAGCAAAAGAAAAATGTCCGAAGCATCTATGATTGTTCCTAGCAGAGACAGATACACTGTGAGAAGTCCACTTTTATTAATCAACACATGTAAGTTTTGTGGCCTTAAAATACAGTTAATACTTAAGAGAAATATTTGTAGTAGTTATTGAGAGAAATTCTAGATATAACTTACCTACAAGATTAGTTGGGATGTAAAAATTACTAAAATAAGATCCAAAATGTATCCTGACTTTAAAAATATATAATGGGTATTAAAATATAAGCAGTGTTCAAAATATTAGTATCTAGTGTGAAAACTGAAAACCACTGTTGTGTAGGACAGTATAACATTGTCCTTAAAAACACCAAGTCAGTCGAGCTGCTTGGCCTTGGTGCCTCACTCACAGGGCTGGACTTCCATCTCGTACCCTGTAGCAGAGTCTAGGACCAGTGTATGTCTAGAAAATGAGACTAACTTGTCTACCTCATCAAACTTATTAGAAAAAGTAAGATTTATTAACCCTTGTGAAGCATTTAGACAGTGCCACAAACGAAATAATTAATACTGTCTGGTACTTTTTACTTTCATCTTTGGAATGTATTTTTCATGTCTGACTGCTTACTTAAACTTAGTAAATCCAAAAAGGAATTGGCCTTTCCACCTTCTGTTATCGTTTTGGTAAATGGCATCCACACTCACCTGTTCATCTAAGGGGAAACTTGAGAGCCATTCCCAGACTGTATGTTGTCATGGTGTCCCATCGAGTCAGAACTAACTCAGGGCTGACCCTCTAGTGGGTTTTCAGAGATAGTAAATCACATGGGACGAGATGGCTTCTCTTTCTTCCACAGAGTAGCTGGTAGATTTGAATTGAACCATGTGCCTTCAGGTTGGCAGCATAGCTCCTTACCACTAGGCCACCAGAGCTCCCCTATCTGTAGTATGTACAGCAGAAGAAAACATTTGCCCGTCCTATGCCATCTTCAGCTCCTTGGGATAGGTGGGTGCACTTGTAACTCCACGTGTGCCGTCCACTAGGAGGCTCTTTCTCCAGCACTGTCGCAGTGTTCTTGTTCGTATCTGTAAAGCTTTCATCTATGACTCTAGGTGATGCTGTGACGTGTGAAAAACTACTGGCAAAGGCTCCAGCAGTGGAGCAGCACACAAACCATTGCAGCAGCACAGCCAGCTGACAAGTGGGCAGTCGACCTCAGAAATACCAGTTGTTGTTTTAGGTGCCGTCGAGTTGGCTCCAGCTCACAGCAACTGTGTCGTGCAGAGCAAACGCAGCCTGCTGCTCTGCCCTCCTCACACTGCTGCCATCAGCCCATCTCGTTGAAGGTCTTCCTCCATTTCACTGACCCTTCTTTATCAGGTGTGACATTCTTCCCTCCTGATAACTTGCCGAACTGTGTGAGAGGAGCATGTCTCATCATCCTTGCTTCTTAGCAATTTAAATTAAAAACCAGAAACCAGCACCACTAGCAACAACAAACTCCCTACAAACCTACTTGTTTTTGGTAATTTTTTTTTAGCAACACCACGAAGGAGGAGAACTAAACCACCCCTGCAAATGATGAGTTCCGCAGAGCAAGCTGGTGTTTCTAAATCATTAGAAAATGGAGCAAATAATGCCATGCCTCTTAAACCTAAACCATCTGAAGAAAGGAGGAGAGACAAAAGTGCAGACAAAGTAACGTTAAAGAGATTTTTAGATGCTTTTTTAATCAGTTTGTTATAGAAATATGTATTGAACTAACAACATCTTTTGCAGTGAATAAGATGAGTTAAATTTTAACTCTTTCACAGCCACCCATCCATGATCAACTTTTAGTCTTGGGTTTCTTAGGAAGCAGCTATTCTAGTTATACCTATTGCCACCTTGTGGGAGCCTGTATAACTGCAGGAATATGAAGAAAGGGACCTTCCTCCACCGATCCTGCCACCAGCGGCTACTTGGGACACATGTGTTCCACATAAACTCATCTTGCTGCTGACAGGTTCGAACAAACTCACAGCAGAACACAGCTAGGCTAAGGCCCTAGGCAGAGGGTCGGTCTTTTTAATAGTAATGGCAGGTGTTTCTTTTCTGAAATGCGAGTGAAGTGTTTCTGAGGTCCGTGGGCGCTAGCAGTTGTCACGAGGTAAGTGATGAGTAGGCAAATACTTGCTTGGAAGGCAACCAACTTTAAACATCATTTAATGCTTTATCATTTCCAAATCTTCCCCATACGTTTGTTAAAATATATTAGATGTAGGCAGCAAGAACAGTAACAATGGGTGTGCCATGATGCAGCTCTAGAAATTACCAGTAATGGATGAAAACTGGATGTTTGTACTAGCTGTGGACAGTATCCTAAAGCCAGTTCCGTTTTCTGTCTCCTCCTGTGCAGTGAAAGTTGTTTTCTTGTGTTTAGGACAGATCATATTCTGGAGTAAGCACAGCAGTGATGAAATAGATAGAAATACTGTCCATCTTCGTAACAAAGCAAATTGCCTTTAGGAGAGTTTAAACCTTAACACTGACTTTTAAGTGTTGTTTTCCTGTAATATCTTAACCCAAGTTTAAATCAACTTGTCTCCTGTGTTTGTAGCTTATGAAAACTGCTAAAATCGTAGAAAAGGATAATGAATCCACAAACCAAAGTTTTAGTAAGTACTATGGTTTAATGTTGGTAGAACTTTATTAGTTTTTATATTATAGACTCGACGGCACATGACAATAGATTTGTATGCATATTTTTCGTAATATAAGTATGTATATAGTTTCTCTATCGTTGCTTTTAACATGACCAGCTTTGATAAGGTTGGAGGACTGTGGTCAGCAGTATGCAGGTACTTTGTGGTTACAAGGATATGGAGTACAGTCTGAGCCACAAGAAATTTAGTTCTTCATCCCAGGACGTATACCTTTAAATAGTCCTTTGCTAGTCTTCCTTCAAAAAATTTTAATATTCTGCTATTCTTATTTTGTTTAGATGAATTCCAAGATAATGATTCTGATTCACAGGCAGTGGTAAAAAGAGATAAAGCTGTGTAAGTATGCAAAAACCTGTCAAACCATTTAACATGTTTTATTACTTTAGATGTAATAGAGTAGAATGTAAAGGGCTTTATATTTTTAGAATGTAATATTACCATAGTATTAATCATCTCTCAAGTATATTTTTCTGGCCTATTTATTAGTTTTTAGTCCCCTTTCCATCCTTGTTAAATCTCCAAGGTTACTCCTATCTGTGTGTGAACCTTTTTTTTTTAAACATGTTTCTTTTTTTGGTTTGTTTATATATATATATGATATTTATTTGATACTGGTTTAATTACAAAGTTCATATACATTGTTTTTCACACTGTATCTTTCTAATTTCTTTAACCCAGCCCACCGTCCAGCAGTCAAATGGTGTGGCTGCATGATTATCCCCGCCCTTGGCCCATCCTCACCCCTATGCTCCCACCTTCTCCCTCTTAGATCTTCACACATGTGTTATTAGTGATCTATTTCTACAGTAATGGTCTTAACACAATATTTGTCCTTATGAGACTGAGTTTATTCGCTTAGCAAAATGCTCTCCAATTCTCCCAGATCTTGTTAGCTTTTTATATAATAGTGGTCTGATAGCATAATTGCCCATTTGTGACAGACCTATGTATATCTATGTCAGTCACATAATTTATCCTAGATTCATCTATCTTGTGCATTATAATTCATGATTATTTTTTATTGTTGTTGTTGTGCCATCGAGTCGCTTACGACTCATGGTGACCCTGTGTACAGCAGCCCTAAAGTCTGCTCTATCCTGTGCCAATCTCATTATCTCTGACACACCCATCCTGATCCAGTCACCGAATCAATCCACCTCATAGAGGACCTTCTCCTCCTGCGCCTGCCCTCCACCCTCCAAGCATGATATCCTTCTCCAAGGACCAGTCCCTCCTTACAGCATGACCAAAGTATGTCAGACAAAACCTCAGAATCCTTGCCTCCAAGAACAGCCCGGTTTAACCCTCTCAAGAATGAATCTGTTTGTTTTCTTAGCAGTTCATGGTACCCTCGATACTCTTCTCCAACACCAGAGCTCAAAGGCATAAATTTTCCTTTTATTCTCCCTAGTCATTGTCCAACACTCTAATGCCCAACAAGTGATTGCAAAGACCATGGCCTGTATCAGATGCACCTTAGTCTCCAGAGAGACACCATTGCTCTTCAGTACTTTGGAGAGGTCCCTAACAGCAGACTTCCCCATCGCAATACGTCTTTTCATTTACTGGCTGCTGGTGCCAAGAGTATTGTATATTATTTCATTGTGTGACTACACCAGAATTTCTTTAGCTTTTCTTCTACTGATAGGCACTTGTTTTCAACTCTTCTCTGTTGTAAAATAATGTTGCAGTAAATACAGATATGCATATTTTAGTTTGTGTAGCAATTATTATGGGGCACTAGAGACTGGTCCAAAGTTTTCCATATCAACCCTATAACCCTTTTCAAATTGAGAGATGTAAAGCTAATTATATTTTTAATAAAATAATAATATAAATTGGAAAAAAATAATGTAGTTCAAATATGTAGTAAAATAGACAACTAAGATACATATTAGATGTCAAGGTAGTGACAATAATAGTACTTTTTTCTAATATTCTAAAATCTATTAAACCATATGATAAATTTTAACTTTCATCATGACTTTTAAAAATATTTCTATACATGACTGCTAACAAATTGCTTTCAGTCAACACTAATGGAATAAGAAATTAAAGACCTATGTGTGAGTGGCAGCTAATGCTTGGAAGTGTATTAAAGCAGATGAAATTACTTTGTAGATTACCTTGTGAGTCAGATAGTGTCTGTGAAGATAAAGCACACTCCAAGTTGGCGTGCTGGACACCAGTAGAAAATATTCAAGTTCATTCTAAGAAAAGAGCCAAGATTTCCTCAGAAGACATACAGAGTCAAGGTGAAGGAATTCTCCTTGTATATAATAATCATTCAGAGAGATACTTAGTTCCTAAAGTGCCTGACACTTAGATTTTAACACATTTAACATATCAACAGTTTATAAATTTTAATAAGAATTCAGTTTTTGTTTTCCCCATAGATCATGTTATCCACAAAAATATGACCAAACAAAAACCATCCTCCTCAATATCTGGTGATAATTCTGAAGAAATAGGAAGAATGCAAAGTACTAAAGAAATAGTGACAAGTAATACAGTAGATAAACTCGAGGTAGAGATGTGTGGAAGAAGCAATCAGCAGCACCTAAATCACCATAAAAACCTAGAGGAGAAAAGTACTGAACACGTCAAACAGAGAGATTGGCATATAGAATCTCAAACTACCTTTAAATCTGTGCTCTTAAATAAGAGAGTTGAAGAATCCCTGATATATCGGAAGAAATACATATTATCAAAAGATCTGAATACTACAGTTTGCGACAAAACCTCTTCTGGAAAAAATCTGAGAAGCCATAGAAAATCAGAGAAAAGACAGACCTCTGAACTTAATTCCTGTGATTTGAAGCAAAAAAATATGGTGAGCTTTTCAGTGTTTTGATTCCTACATACCCATAATATTTAATTTAATAATATTTAGTCACAGAAGACAGTGAGGGAACTTTGCCTGGTTTCATGGTTCACATTTGTGTTCTTGAATTAAGTGTCTGGACTCGTAAGAGTGAGTGCCTCCTTCTGGCCTCATGCTCAGCTCCCTTGTCCCAGCTGTGAGAAAAGAGAATGGGTCCCAGGGTATTTGAGTACGAATGGAATAAACGAACCTGAGAATCTTGTCTTTCAGGCTTTTTCTTATCTTGCCTTGGATCGCTTGCTTCTCTTGAGCTTGCCTGTGGAATTCATCTATATGCCTTTCTTACAGTACTTTTCTTCCTGATATTATAAGTGCTGTATTTGACTTAACATTTATTCCCTGCCTGGACCAGCACTTTATACATGGTGTTGTCTCAAACATACCAAGGTGTGAAGAAAGGATGTAAATGGAGGTTCTCTTTTATTTTAGTCTTTTCTGTACACTATCTCCAGGGCATTTTTGATAGATTTTCACTCTACATTGAGGCCAGAGTTTTACTTTTTTGTAGCAATTACCATAAATCTTTTTTTATACCTTGTGATCAGGGTGATCAAGGTGCAGACTTTAAAAAAATCTAATCAGATTGCCTTTCCACTGCCAGTAATTTAATTGGCTTTTACCCTTCCTAAGAGAATAGTAAAACTTGTAGGCTTCCATTTGCATTTCTCTTGTACAGGATTATTATTATCTTGGTAAGCAAATTTCTCGTCAATTTAAAATGTTTACAGATGTTTACAGATTGGAGCACCTGAGTGTACAAATGAAACAGCCAATCATTTATAATGGATACTTTGATGGCTTAATGGTAAGAAACTGCACTGCAATCCCAAAGGCATGCAGTTCAAATCCACAAGCTGCTCTGCAGAAGGATGGGCAGACTCCTCCTGTGAGATTAACTGCCTCTGAAAACCCACTGGATGATCAGCTATGGGTCATTTCTGACTCCCTAGTGCACAACAACACACACATAATTTCATTATTCAATTTGTCTTGACTTTCTTTTCTAATCTGTCCTTTTGTACTTAATTAGGCAGCATTCTTCAGCCATATCCTTTAAGGTCACTTTTTCCTTGATTTCTCCTAATCTCTTTCCTTAACTTAGTCTGAACTGTATCATTACCCCATCCCCCAGGAAAGAGTGACTTATTTTGGCTCAACTCAGATTCATCCTTCAGTTTTAATTTGTTTGAGTTTACAGTCATTTCACAGAAATTTCCTAAGGAGTCATTTTTTTTTCCTTATCTCTATTCTGATTTCTGTTAGTTGTCTTGTTGCCAGCAGTTTTCTTCAGTTTATTACCGTATCAGGATGGAGGATTCTTGACCACTTTCCTGGATCTCTCTCCTCTGAGGAGAGCCCTCTCTCTGATCTTTCCTGTTCATTGGATCAACAGACAAACTACGGTTCACTGATAGTGATTGCCCATGCTACTCCAACTACATTGCTCCATTTAAGGTGAAGCTTATTTTTTTGCAAGCCAAGTAATCGGTCTTCATTCTTGTTACATTTTTAAAAAGAGAATAACTTACTACATATCAAAATGTATGGCTGGTTCCCAGAAAAAAGTAAAATGAAAATTAGGATAACTCATATAAGAGTATCTGTGGAATTTTTCTTAACAAATTTATGTTGCTGATAATTCTTCCAGTGAACCCTTTAAGTTCTTGATTTCTTTGTCACTTTGAGCAACAAAGGACTTGGCATAGTTCTCGCTTGGCATAAGTGTCAGACTTATCTTCAGTTGTTTCAGTGATGAACCAATCCCAGACTTAACGAAACAATTTCTGATCTTTACCCCCTTGTGTGGCTATATATAGAACTAAAATTTTCTAGTGTGTATGAAAAATTTATATATTCTTCTTAGCCTTTATTTTCCTTTGAAGGTTAACTGGTATAATTTAAAATAACTTTCAGAAAGAAAATTCGAAAGGGAGACAATTTTCTGATGCAGCAGAATCTTTGATAAATCAAATTAATAGGCGATACAAAGCAAAGGAGGATATCAAGTCTACTGGACAATTAAAGGAGTCTGTGATTGACAAGTATGTGCTTAAATTGTATATATGGAATTTTCTGTTAAGATATAAAATTTATTTACAGAGTTTTAAAAAGTTTTAAATGTATGGTCAAGTACTATAACTTTTATCAGGAAACACATGTTCTCTAATACTAAATAGTAGTCGTTTAAATACTACAGAAAGAGAATGAAATTTTTATTCATTCTGTAGTCAGGTCATGTTTTACAAAGTATTAAAAAGCACTGTATTGATACGAACATACTAATTATAAATAATATTTAGCATATACACATTTTAGAATTGTATTTATTGAATGTAAAAATGAGTGAAACTAAATACACTTTAAATATATTGCTTTATGAAATAGGAAATTTAAGTGCGTTATTTTTATATACTATAGTAAATAGGTATTCCTTGTTTGAAATCTTGCTGACGGTTAATTATCTCATGAAAAAACTACTGTTTATGGATGCCACATTATTAATTCAAGTTCACATTTACCCTGGCATTTATTGTATGGCATGAAGAAAATTATTTTTATCAAAGAGAACTATTTATTTAAAAGTGGCACCTCTTAATGTTACTCATCTTAGAGTTGTTATAATTACCTATTTGTTTTTGTAAAGTTACAAAAATAATAATTTTGTCACATCTCAAATAATTCTTGCATATTGAATATAGATTTAGACCCAAATAGGTTTTACCTTATATAGAATGGCTTTTATGGAAAATACAGATATTGAATTATTTTTTTATTTTTTACAAAATCTTTTTTTTATAGTGAGTTTTCAAGCAGATGTGATCTACAGCTTAGTAAGGTAGGCTTTATTAATTTATCCAGCCCAAACCTATTAACCTGGTTAAATTTTACAATATTAGACCACAGACACTTATACAGAAGAAAAGTGTGATACAACTAGATTAGCTATTTTAAGGATATTGATAAAGGATTATCAATCCATTGAGTGACAAGTGCTCAAAATAATCCCTTAGTCTTCTGTTTCTCAATAAACATGCTGATTTTACATATAGTCACAGTATTTATGCAGTATTGTGGATGCACTTTTTTTTTTATCCCACCTCACCTGCCAGCCACATTATTCTGAAGTCCATTGTTTGTGTTAAAAACATTTCCTATTTGAGACTTAAAATAACAGTTGCCTTGGATTTACTCATTACTGTTACTTCTCATCTGTCTTTTATTAAATTCCTCTCAAATCTAACCCCTCTGCTTGTGCCAGCACGTTACCCTAGTTCTGTTGCAGTTTCTAACCCTCAAAGTGTGGCAAAACAGCCTTTATTGAGCTTTCTTTGCTTCTGGGATTTCCTTGTGCCACTCTATTTACTATGTTCAGTACCAGCATTTTTCATTACCAAGTGCAGAGCTTCATTCATTTTCACAGTTACTGTTTTTGTTGCTCATTACATTAAAGACAGACAGGTTGACTTCCTAGTACTTTAAAAGAATACCTTATTTCCTCATTTTTGTTGCCTAACCATGCCTTGTTTAGCTAGATTGTGATAGCCTGAAGCTCGTAAGTGTCTTTCCTAACTTTGGGGTTTTGTTCATCTTCCTCTATTCCTCTTTAGAGGAAAAAAAAATGGACTGAACCAGTAGGCACTTTCACTCTCTTTTCTCTTCATCAAAACCTCACCCCTCCTTTCAAGCCCTACTTCAGAATTTACTTTATGGGGGCAGGGGTTGGAAATTGAAGGACACTCCAAAATCCAAACAGACAAAAAGTCCAAGTCTGCATAATAATGTCTTATGCACACACAGCAATTGAGAAGTGGTTTTCCTTTTCTGTTTTGAATCATCTTTATAGCCTCTGTAATGCCTTTACTTACCTTTGCACCCTCTTAAAAATCTCACCTCATCTTTCTATCCTTTGTAACACAAAGCACTAAGAGGATGAATTGAACACTGTACTTAAACACAAGTAAAAAGCATATTGGAAAGAGTAAGCCAGATAAGTGATGAGAAGAGTTGTATGTTAAGAAGTGACTTTATTAGACTAACTCAAGTGATTGTATATAAAATAGTGAGAAGACCTAATACAAATATTTCCAGATTCCACGATTTCCAACTTACTGTGCATTATGTTAAAGTAAAAACAGTGAAAGTAGAAGCACACTTTTTTGTGTCTTGAATCAATAAAGTTCAGCTTGAAGAGAGATTATTAATGAGAACATTTATCTGTTTATAGTAGTGTTACAAGCATTGCTTAATGTCCGTGATACTTTCTGTGAAATAGGATATAATATGATTTGGACATTGTGTGAACATTGTATTTAAACCTCTACCAGAAGGAAATAATAAAAGTAGAACTTGCTTCTGGTTATTCTTGCTACTTTTGCAGATGGAAGAAATAGTCCGAGAGGGGAGTGGAGGGAGAATAGGAGGTAGCTTCCCTTCCTCACTGCTGCTAGAACCTGTTGTACCTTTATCTCCCCTGTGGTCCAGTGCTGCATGACTCTGGGTTTGGGATATTTAGAGCAATCAAAGGGAAATAAACAAAAGGAGAACACTTTAAAATATTTAATTTATGAAATTATGGATGAGTATGTGGTTGGACATTGCCTAAATAGATAGTAATCAATGCATACTTGTAAATGTTAAGAATAAATTGTTATATTCAGTATTAGCATTCTATTATACCTTCCATTACATTTTTAGTTCATCTATAAGTCTTCAATAGTGTAAATGCCTAATATTTTTTATGTTAAAAATGGTTACAAAAAGCCAGATTTATATGCATTACTAGAAAATATATGAAAATTTAATAGTATGTTATTTGTCAGGTAAAATAATGTAAAAATTTGGAGAGCTTTACATAAACTTCTTTTACATTTAGGAAAAGGTCCAGAAAAAAAGCTTTAGACAGTTGAAGACTACTCTTGTTAATGTTACCTCCAAATGCCCATTGTAAGTACCTTTTCATAAATATTCTCATTTTCTTTATACTTAAAGAGACTGTATTTTATAATGCTTTGCTTCATTTTTACAGGACTGATATTTACAATTTTAATTTGAATGGAGCTGATGAACCTACTATAAAACTTGGAGTAAGCTAGAATTCAACATATTTTGTTTCTTTTTTTTTATTTATCACATTAGTTGTTAGAGAGTATACTTTTTAGCTTTGCATCCTTTTGTAGCTATGTTTTAAAGTTTTGAAAATATGAAATAATACAGTTAGATAGCCAGCCTATGTATATTTAGTTTTACTTTCAAAGCCTTTGGAATAAGATAGAGAAAAATGAGTGATTATGGAGGCACTTAAGACTACTTTATTAAAAGAATTTTCCTTCTTGGTAAAACAAACATAAGGTAATGATTACTCTCATTTGCTTGTTTCTAGTACAGTTTATAAAATATAACACTACTTCAGTACTTTAGTGTATTTTAATAATCTTAATTTTGTCAAAATTCTTATTCCATGAAATGATAGAAACTAAATGTTATTTTTACTTTTGTTTACCTTATTTTCACACTCAGAATCCTTTTCAATGTTTATTCACAATATAGGTCCAAGAATTTCAGGCTACAAATAGAGAAACCTGTGTGGACAATTCAGGAAAATTGTAGGTCTTCAACTGATCTGATTAAAACATACTTATCTCATTATTGCCTTTTCTTTTTTTTTTTTTTTTGCACCTGATCCAGGCCATAGTGTTTGAACTTTTTTTTATTAATTTTAATGAAAGTTTACAGAGACTTAGGGTTTCCAGTCATTCATTGTTGCACTTTGCTCCCTCCCCACTCCCTCCCCTTATTGCCCTTTATTTCTTAAATACTTCATGCCAGTCTGTCTTTCTGAGAGCTTGTCACATATTTTAGAAGAGTGAAAAAAATGCTAATAATGCCTTGATTACTTCCTTTATGATTTTGCTACTTTACTATTTACTTCTGATATTGTTTAATATGCAGATTCTGTACAGTTTTAATATTCATTATATAGTTTAGGTAATAAGTCAGAAAGGTTATGTGAGTTCCTTAATCCATCTTTAATATTTTATAATTAACTGAGATCAGAGATGATAATGGTTTGGCAAAAAAGAGTAAGGCTTGAAAACCCATGTCCCATTGCTTAGTACATGCTACCTAAGATAAAGAGCTTTTTAAATTAATACATATCTTTGTTTAAGGGTAGATGTAAGGAATCGGGATAAACTTGAATCTCCTCTCAAAACAAAAGATAAAAGTGTAAGTAATAATAAACCAAATTAAGTTTATTAAGGCCAGTAATTCTTCCCATTATATTTTAAGGTCAGAGATTCTCCCCCCCACCACCACAACTTAATGAGATGACCTGTGTTCTCATTATGGTTTTTCTTACAATCCTTGAACTATCTGTAATAGTCTAGTAATAAAAAAAGAATCTTTGTTTTGTACAAATGGTTAACACATTGGACTACTACCCAGAGAAGCTTTGGAAGAAAGGCTTATTGAAAAATTAGTCATGGACAGTCCTGTGAAGCGTGATCCTACTTTGGCACATATGGGGCCACCATGCATCAGAATGAACTAGTTTCTATTCTAAGGAGCCCCAGTGCTGTACTATCTTACATTTTGGGCTGCTAACCAAAAGTTGAAGGGAGCCTAGTTACCTAGTGGTAAAAAGCTGTGCTTGTTCTTGAAGGCACGTGGTTCAAATCCACCAGCAACTCCACAGGAGAGACATGGGAAGTCTCCTGTGCAATTAACTGACTCTGAAAACTTGCTGAAGGGTCAGCTGTGGGTTGGTTCTGACTCGATGGTACACAACATTCACAACCAAAAGTTTGGTGGTTCAAATCTACTAGCTACTCTGCAGGATAAAAGTGAGACATTACAGCCTCAGAAACCTGGTGGAGGTTCCATGAGTCAAACTCTACTGAATGATAGGGAGTTTGACTTTGTGGTCTTGATGGAACTAAACTGTCCTCACCTAGTTTTAATTAACTTCAACAAAATATAAATCTTAATCTCTGACCTGGACTTCTGAGCAACTTCGTTGGATAACTCCTTATTTACTATGTAGAGTAGAACTTGAAAAAGTTCGTATTTCTGGTTTGGTTTAATTTACTTTGCATCATGACATAAAATAAGATAGTTATCTATGACAAGAAATCTCCCTCTCGCCCAATAGATAACAAATTACAAAAAGAAGCATCTTTTTAGTGATGATGAAACAGAATACAGAGATGATGACAGCAGGACTGATATCAGCTGGTTAAGAGCACCAAAGTCAAAACCACAGCTCATAGACTACAGCAGAAATAAAAACGTAAAGAGGCACCAAAGTGGGAAACCAAGTAAGTAGCTACTTTTTTGAGGAATGTTGTAAATGACTCTGCTATTTAATCCATATAAGATGTTTTGTTATTGAAAGTATATATTTGTATGTAAACAGTATTTCTAACTATGTATCTTTATGTACAGTAGAGTGAAAACATGTAAAAAAATATAGTTGTATTATTTTGTTAACTTTGGTAATATATAGCTCTTTATAATAAAACAATTAGTTCCTTCCTTTTAATTAGGTTTTGTTGTTGTTGTTGTTGTTAGTGCCGTCCAATCATAGGCGACTCATAGCGACCCTATGAACGAAAGTCCTCGACACTTGCTTGACTTTCATTCTTGCTCCAGGTTCATAGGGTTTCCGGAGGCAAGCTATTTACGGAAGTGGATGCCACTAGGGTGCAAAATATTATAGTATAATATTATACTTCTCATAACCCTTAGTTCACAAAATACTCTTCATTTGTCCTCTCATAACCTGCTATTAATAGTTGTTGTTGTTATTGTTGATTGCCTTTGAGTCGAGCACGACACCTATGAACAAAAGGCCGGAAGGCCCTCCACAACTGTCAACATTTATCAAAGTTCATAGAGTTTCCGGAGGAATGTTGTTTAGGAAGTGGATGCCACTCCTAGTGGCTTAGTTAATTTTTATTCTGAATAATTTATTAAGTATCCATACATTACCCTAAAACAAAATCAAAGTTCAGATTTTTATACTAATTCACATAGAACTAAATATACACATAACTATAAGCATCTGCCATGCTCAGTATAAATTACATACGTATAATTGCATCACACATACATGCACACATAAACATTTTAGGAATTCATATAGATGCAATAAAAGTACCTCAAAAGAAAAGCAAGTTTTGCTGTCATTGCATGTAGATAAGTAGATGTCTATCTATAACGATTGTCAACCCAACATATTTTACATGAGCAGGTTAGTGACCACCCATCTGTGTGGCCATTATCAGAATCTGTTGCCAAGTTTTCCATCACTATAAAGAGACATGTGCTGCTTCCTAAACAATGTGTCTTGCTTTACCCTGCCCCTCCTGTCCCTGGGTACCATTGATAAACTTTGGTCTCCGTATAGTCTCTTATTCTAGATATGTAATGTAAGTGGTGTTATGTTGTTAAGTGCCGTCAAGTCGCAGGCAATTCATAGTGACCCTATGAATGAAAGTCCTGGACACCTCCTGTATAACTTTTGTCCTTTCTCCAGGTTCATAGGGTTTCCAAAGGCAAGCTGTTGTGGAAGTGGATGCCACTCCTGCTTCCAAGCTTGTTTTAATTGGGGGCTTCACCAAACACTGTCCACCATTGGTAACCATTCTCGCATTTGATTCATCAGTGTCACAGTGTCCGGCTTCACAGCAACCATGAGTTACCTCTGTACAGCAAATGGACATACCAGGGTTACACGACCTAGAAGAATGTTTCACCAAAAACAAAGTATGGCCTGAGAGCCGCGGAGTCAAGTCCCCCACCTTTGGCTTGCGAGCATGGCTTTCTGTCCACTAGGCCAACTGCTCTTTCTCTCGCTCGTTCTCTCTGCTGTTGGTGGTGGTGAGATTATAAAATATTCTTTTGTAATTGAAAACAATTTAAAATTGTTTTTACTGAGGGAACTCTGGTGACCTAGTGGCAAGAAGCTGCATTGTAATAATCACAGAGGCGGTTGTTGTTGTTAAGGGCCGTCGAGTTGCGGGTGACTCATAGTGATCCTATGAACAAAAATCCTGGACACCTGTATAACTTTTGTCCTTTCTCCAGGTTCATAGGGTTTCCAGAGGCAAGCTATTATGAAAGTGGATGGCACTTCTGCATCCAAGCTTGTTTTAATCGTATGTGGTTCATATCCACCAGATGCTTTGCTGGAGAAGGAGAGGCAATCTCCTCCTGTACTAGTCAGATCTGATTTGATGGTACACACACATAAATAAAATTTAAAAAAATTAATTAAAATTGTTTTTACCAGTGTCCTCCAGGAAAAGTTTGTCCAGCCTATTTCTTCTACTTTTTCTTTGTGATAGTGAACCTCTTAAAGCAGTGTATAAGAGGTAGTGAACCGGTATTTGACTAGAGATAATTATCATTGAAAAAACATCAATGTCAGTGTCTCCTTAGTTCACAAAGATTTTTATATAGTCCATTTTAAAAAGAAGACTCAAGATAATTCTTGACAATTTGAATTAAATGTATTTGTTTCAAGTGATTCCGCTTTTGTATCAGAATACAGATAACCATTAGTGACATATGTATGTGTGTGTGTAGTAAAAAGAGTGTTATTTTAAGAAGTAACAATAGTAGAGGGTTAGATATGGATCATTATCTATTAAAGTAACAGCAAGACCATTACATGTAACAAAAACAGATAGATGAAATCACACAGAGATGAGGTTTGGGAACGTAGAGCACATTTGGGAAAAAATGTTGATTGATGAGAGTGGACTTGGAAGAAGTGGGGTATCCCACTAATGTTAATTGTGGTTAGGTGTTATTGAGTCATCTACGATTTCTATAGATCTTATCAACAACAGATCCAAACCCTGCTGCATCCTGTGCCACACTCGTGATTTCTTCCATGCTCAAGCCTGTTGTTGTAGTCACTGTGTCACCATCGTTCTACCATCATCCTCGCCTCTAAGGAGCATTCTGGTCACACTTCCTTCAAGACAGATGTGTTTGTTCTTTCGGCAGTCCATGGGGATTAAGTACTCTTAACACCACAGTTCAAAGGCACTGATGAGTCTGTGGTCTTCCTTATTCATTATGCAACTTTCACATGCGTACAAAGCAATTGAAAATTCCATAGCCTGCATTAAGCACACCTTAGTCTTTAAATGGACATCTTTGCTTTTTGTTGTTGTTATTGATTGCTGTCGAGTCGAGCACAACTCATAGTGGCCTTATGAACAAAAGGCCTGAAGCCTTTCTATAATTATTGTCATTTATCAAAGTTCATAGAGTTTCCACAGGCATGTTGTTTAGGAAGTGGATGCCACTCCTGCTTCCAAACCGGTCTTAAACTGGGAGCTCCACCAAACACTGTCCACGATGAGTAAATGTTATGGCATTTGACACCCCAATGGCAAACGGTTCAGCATCACAGCAACCCCATGTTACCTCAATACAGCATATTGACAGAAGATTGCCTGTACCACTTAGAAGAATGTTCCTCCAAAATATAACAACTGACTTTCAAATACAAAGCCCCTCCCCAAGGTCTTTGACTCTAAACATGAGGCTTAAATAAAATAAAAATCATATAGTATGTTTTTGTTGTTATGTGCCATTGAGTCACCTGCAACATATATCAAGTGTACATACAGCACTCTGGAAAGTGTCTTGAAAGGACCTTTTGGCAAAACTTTTGTGCGATTTTATCCAAACTATCCATCTTTTAATTTTTTAACAGCTGCTGCCTTGAGTGTTGATTATTGATCCAAGTAGGGTGAAATTGTTGACAACTCCAATCTTTTGTTCCCTCTCCTCCTCTGTCATAGTGATCAAATGGTAAGCTATGCTGCAATCTCAGAGGCATACAGTTTGAATTCACCAGAAGCTCCATGGGAGAAGGATGGGCAGTCTCCTCCCATGCAACTAACTGCCTCTGAAAACCAGCTGATGGGTCAGCAAATGACATGCTGTTGGTCCAATCGTGAGGATTTTTGTTTTCTTGATGTTGAGATGTAATCCATACTGAAGTCTGCAGTCTTTGATCTTCCATACATGCTTTTAAGTCATCTTCAATTTCTGCAAACTTATCATTTGCAGAATGTACAGATTGATGATGAGTCTGCCTCCAGTTCTGATAGCCACATTCTTCTTCATAGAATCTTCTTGGATTCTTTTGTTGAGCACATAGATTGAATAGGAGAAAGGGTGCAACCCTGCCCCACACACCTTTCCTGATTTTAAACCATGCAGCATTAACTCATTCTATTATATCATCTGCTTCTTGGGTCCAATTAGAGGTTTCATGTGAGCAAAATTAAGTGTCCTGGGATATTTATTATGATTCACACAGTCTCATAGATGCATTTTAAACCAGAGAGAAATATAAAATTAGCATGCTTTCAAATAGCTTAATGGCTAGTGGAAGATTAACAAGTAGAAACATGTGTAACAAAACAAAAAATAAGCACTCTTAGGCTGCCATTAGTGTTGTAATACTTAAGCAGTTAAGTACATATTTAAAAAAACAACCTGTAAGTAAATTTTTTTTGGTTTTTTTTTAACTGAGTCAAGTACTACAATCCAGTATATATGCACTGGCTTAATGCTCTGACATATTGTGGGCCTTATATCTAAAAATGCTTTGCTTTCTTGGCTTGCATAGTCTTATTTCTTAGGCTTCAGAGAATATTTAGAAATAAGTCCTTGTGTTTGAAAGACAAAAGGGGGAAGGGGACAAATGACTAAAGTTATATTTAATATAAAGAAAAATGTTAGAAACATAATGATACATGGAAAATAAAGCAAATGTTGTAATGCTACACACAGCATGGTACTTTTTTATAAATTGGTTGTATTAAGACTACATACCTGTGAAATGCTATTTTATTTTTTTTAAGGCCAAGTGAATGAAAAATACAAATTTCAGGATAGAGATTATTTGTTGCTGGGGAATGAGAAGGACAGAGGGACAGTATAGAAAGCTGCACAAGTCAATTAAAACAGTGTCCATAAAGCAGCAGAGCCCTGGGTGTTCGTAGTGTCTGTTTTAAATGCTGATGATACAGAGTGGAGGAGGAGGTCACCGACGGCAAAACACTGTACAAGTTATCAATGCTGACGGTGCCTCTAATCATCTTGACATTGAAATTTATGAATGAGCCTCACGATACGTTCTTCATGCCTTTTCGATTATGTTTTCAAAAATGCTCTACATATTTTTATGCCAATTGTTATCTGAACATGTAAGCCATATTTTTCTGAATTGCAGGGTCATCCATGGAAAGAGGACAACCAGGATATAAAGTGGTAAAGTCAAGGAATTTGGGATTTTGGGGGGGTTTTAATTGAGATTTTAAAGTTTATAGAGGACTTGGATTTCCATTCATTCATTGTACATTTTCCACCTCCCCCCTTCTCCCCCCGTTTTTTTTTCCTTTGTAAAAGAAAATTCTTTGTTATACAGCCCTCCTCCCCCAGTCCATTTTACTATGCTGCTTTTATAGTGAACTCTTGTCATTCCAATACTACCTAATCATATATTCCTTTTATACAGTTCTCTCCCTTGTCTGTTTCAATGCTGTGCACATTATGTATCGCGTCTTAATTTCCCCCCAAACTCCATGTCAGTCCTGTTTTATAACAGTGGCATTGTGCAGTATTGTCTTTTTGTGACTGAGATAACTCACTCAGCATAATGTCCTCCAGGGTCACTCACTTTGTATAATATTTCATGAGTTCTTTCTTTGGGGTTTTTTTTTAAAAATTTTATTATTTTTTATGTGTACCATCAAATCAGATCTGACTGGTACAGGAAGAGATTGCCCCCTCCTTCTCCAGCAGAGCATCTGATGGATTTGAATCACATACCTCTGAGATTGCAGTGCAGAGTCTTGCCACTAGTCCCCCAGAGATCCCGGAGTTCTTTGTTTTTCAATGCTACATAATATTCTATTGTGTGAATATACCACAGCATCCCTATCCATTTGTTCATGGACATTGGTTGTTTCCAACTCTTTGCTATGGTGTACAAAGCAGCAATAGATATGGGTGTGCATATATCTGCTTGAGTGGTACTTCTGGTTTCTTTAGGGTGTATTCTCAGGAGAGGAATTGCTGGGTCAAATGGTATTTCTATTTTCAACTTTTTGAGAAAGCGTCATACTGCCTTCCATAGTGCTTGCACCATTTTACACTCCCACCAATAGGGGAATAAGGGTTCCAGTTTCTTCACAACCTCCCCAGGATTTGTTTGCTGCTCTGTTGAATTTTGCTATTCTTACCAGAGTGAGATATCTCATAATTGTTTTGATTTGCATCTCTTAGACTAAGGGATTTTGAACACTTGTGTTTGTTGGCCACCTGAATGTCTTCTTTAGTGAAATGTCTGTTCATATCCTGTGCCCATTTTGCAGTTATCTTGATGTGGTGGGAATCTGTTTTTTAAAATCTCTTTTGAAACTCTTTTCCTTCTCATGTAGAAATAAATGTGTCTGTCATCTTGGACTTTTCCAGAGTATCAGTTGTTTTCCAAAATTTTCCCCACTGTTTCTTTTTTAATCAGCGTGGTCTTATTTTTAATCTATTTTATTCTGAGGTTATAGGTGTTTTTTTTATCTATTTCTTTTTAAACAATGTAACTTAGAGAATAAATATTAGATCTCCTAGGGATTTACTAACAGGAATCAAAACGTGGTAGAGAAGATAACTTGAGATGGAGATAAAACCAAGTCTTTTGAGGGGTGAATATTAGTAAAGACTATAATTCTGTGTATCTTGTCAAAGTCCACTCTTATATATATGAAGTTTTATCTTATACTGGTTTACTTGTTAAGTTCATGTATATTGTTTTCACACCGTATCTTTCCCATTTCCTTGACCCTCCCCTCCCTCCACCCATCAAACTGTGGGACTCTATGATTACCACCACCACCCTGCCCATCCTCACTCCTCTGTTCTTGCTGTCCTCCCACTAGATCCGCATACTTGTTTTACTAGTTATCAATTTCTACAATAATGGCCTGATTCAGTATTTGTCCTTATGGGATTGAGTTAGTTTACTGGGCATAATGCTCTTCAGTCCCTCCCAAATCAGGTAGTGATTTACAAAATCATTGGTCCTGTGTGCTGCATAGTATGCCATCATGTGAATGTATCATAATTTCACAATCCATTTGATTGTGATTGGGCATTGGACTATTTCCATGTTCTTTCAGTGGTGAATAATGCAGCTGTGAACACTGGTGTACACAAGTCTCCATTTGTGCCTCAATTCTTGTTTTCTCGGGGTATATTCTTTGCAGTGGAATAGCTGGGTCATATTGAATATCTATGTTCTGAGGAAATTCCAGACTGTCTTGCAGAGTGGTTGTACCATTTTACAATTCCACCAAGAGTGTGTAAGAATTCCTATCTCACCACATCCGTGCAAAGATTTCTTAATTGCTGTCTTGTTAAATTTTGCCACTGCTCTGGAGCAAGATGGTTATCTCATTGTGGTTTTGATTTGCATCTCATTGCCAGGGATTTTGAGCATTTCTTCATGTCTGTTTTGGCCCTCCAAATAATCTTCTTCTTTCCATGTCTTTTGCCCATTTTGTAATTGTGTTATCAGTCTTTTTCTTGTGGAGGCCCTGTAGGACTCTGTAAACTTTTGATATGAGACCCTTGTCTGAAATGGTATTGCCAAATGTGTTTTTCCCAGTCAGTAGGTTTTCTTTTCACTCTGTTGGAAGCATGTTCTTGTTATACACAGGGATTTAATCTTTAGAAGGTATTATTCATCAGTTTTATCTACTCCAGATTGTGCATTTCTAGCTAAATTTGGCAGTTTCTTTACAGTAGATTAGGCCATCCCTGATGAATGTCATGGTTTTGAGCTTTACAGAGTGTCACCCTTACCCCTGGTATGTGTTGTAGCTCCTCTGTTAGCTTCATAATATTCAGGATTTTTTTTTGCCCCAAAGATACCCAGCAAAACCACCACCAGAAAGGTAAATGAGATAGTTCCAGATGGACGAACCCGACTCCCACGAAAAGCAGCAGAAACAAAAAAAAATTATAAAGATCTCTCAAATTCAGAATCAGAGAGTGAACTCGAATTTTCACAGCCATTTAAAGAAAAACTTCTAGAAAAGGTAAGTAGATAACAATTCAGGTTAATATTAGATAGCATTTCAATTAATAAAGATCTAATATGTATTCATAGCATTTTAACTATACTTTGACACTTCTTTTAAAACTATCTTTTATGTGAGAAAATTTTGGCGCTAATTACAAAAATTAATTCATAGGCAATGTAAATGCTGAATTTTATAATTGTTAGAAAACAGATGTCAGACTCTAATAGACTATAATAAATTACAATTTTGATAGACTATCTTGATAATTAAGAGAATCACCTGCTGCTTTCAAAATTGTTAGGAAGCTGTTAATCTTCCTTTTTGAATGAATACCCCCGAGTACCTGAAATCCTCATTTCTTTTATCTTTAAATTTTGTATTGATTTCTCTGTGATCATTCACATACTTCATGTTTTGTCCATGTACTTTGTGTTTATAGGATTACTATGAGTTATACTCAACTTGATGGCACCTAACAACGTATGTTGATCGCCCCAGTTTTCAAATCTCCATTTTATTTTTCCCATTCCTTCACCTTCCCTCCACCCACTAACTCTGCTATCCTGGAGATTTTCCGTTTTCCCCTTTTTCTGCCCTACCTTCTCCCTTCCCCCATCTCCTTTGAACATTTTTGAGCCATGAAGTGTTTCTTGGCTCTCTTCTGAGGACTGCTTCCTGGTCTGAGTGTAGTTTTCACATGAGGACAATTAAGTGTTCTGGGATTCTTATTCTCCTTAAGGTCAGCCACAATTTGTTGTGATCCTTACCTTTACATAGTCAATGAAACACAGATAGAGGCAGCTGTATAGTAGTATGTAAACTTGAGTTATGACACCCTTGTGTGAAAAGTCTTTACCAGATGATTTTCCCTCCGCCTGTGGGCTTTCTTTTCACCCTGTTGGAGAAAGTTTTTGATGCACAGAGGGATTGTTTTAAGATAGTCCCATTCATTGATTTTTATCCTTATCATCTGATACATTTGAACATATTAATGAAGTCCTTGTTTCCATCTATCTTATTGGAGGTCTTCCAGTCTTTCACTGACCCTCCCTCCACCGTACCAATTTGGATGCTTCTTATTTCTCTTGCCTTTTTTACCTAGCTAGAAATTCTAATACAGTATTGAATAAGAATGGTGATACTGGGCATCTTTGTTTGCCTTTAGCCTCTCTGTGTTGAGAATGATGTTGGCTCTTGGTTTTGAGCGTCAACCTTTCATTGTGTGGAGGATATTCCCCTCTATTCCCATTTTGCTGAGTGTTTTAATCATGAAATGGTATTGGACCTTGTTGAAGGCGTTTTCTGCGTCAGTTGATAGGATCATGTGGTTCTTGTTCCTTGCCTTGCTGATGTGACAAATTCTTTTCATGAATCCCCTTGGTCGTGAGGAATTGTTTTGTATCTACATATACACATATACATACGCATACATATATACACACACACTGTGGGGTTCTATTGGATATTCAGTATTTTTGCATCTATGTTCATGAGATTGATCTATATTTTTCTCTTTCTTGGTTTTGGTATTAGCGTTATGTTTGCTTCATAGAATGATTCTGAAAGTATCCCCCCCCCCCATTTTGTTAAAATCATTTTAGTAGTATTAGTGATAGTTTGTCTCTGAATGTTTGGTAGAATTCACTGGTGAAGACATCTGAGCCAGGAGGTGTTTTGTTTTTTGTTTTGTTTTGGCGGGGCAGTAAAGGCTTTTTATGAACTGGTCCATTTCTTCTTTGGATGAGTGTGTTCCAACATTCCACTTTTGTCTTTGTAAATTTGGGTGTGGGCTTCCAGGAATTTGTCTATTTTCTCTAGGTTTTCAAATTTATAAAAATATAGCTTTTCATAATATTCAGATATTATCAATTTAGTTTTGGCTCCTTCTGTTGTGATGCTATTTCTTATTTTGTCTTTTGTTAAGTTTGTCAATGGTTTGTCTATTTTAATCTATTTCAAAGAAACAACTCCTGGTTGTGTTGATGGTTTCAGTCATTTTTCTGTCCCTTGATTTCAGCCCTTATCCTTATAATTTCCTTTCTTCTAGAGGCTGTGGGGTTAGCTGCCTGTTCTTTTTCTATTAGCTGGAGGTGTTGAGTAGTTTATCTTCATTCTGCCCCCCCCACACATATTTAATTGCTATAAACTGACCCCTGAAGACTGCCTTAGCCCTATCTCTGTTTTGACATTATTTTCATTCCTTTTTAGGAACTTTTTTATTTCTTGTATAACTCAGTAGTGTTCAAGCAAAATGTTACTTCGCTTTCACATGTTCTTTTTTCCGTTATCTTCTTGTTGGTGGTTATGTGCTGTCGAATTGCCTGCGACTCATAGTGACCCTATGTACAACAGCCCTAAACCCTGCTCTATCCTGTGCCAATTGTATTGTCTCTAACACACCTATCCCCATTACCCCAGTCACTGAATCAATCCACCTCATAGAGGGTCTTCCTCTCCTTCACTGTCTCTCCACTCTCCCAAGCATGATGTTCCTCTCCAAGGAGTGGTCCCTCCTAGCAGCATGTCCAAAGTATGTCAGACAAAGCTTCAGAATCCTTGCCTCCAAGGAGCAGCCTGGTTTAACCTTCTCCAGGATGAACCTGTTTATTTTCTTAGCAGTTCATGGAATATTCAGTACTCTTCAACACCATAGCTCAAAGGCATCAGTTCTTCTTTCATCCCTAGTCATTGTCCAGCTCTCTGATGCATAGCAGGTGATTGCAAAGACCATGGCATGTATCAAACATACCTTAGTCTCCAGAGTGACATCATTGCTCTTCAGTACTTTGGAGAGGTTTCTGACAGGAGACTTTCCCATCATAATGTCTTCTAATTTCCTGGCTACTGGTGCCAAGAGTGTTGACAGTGGAGCCAAGCAAACTAAAGCTATTAATAATCTCAATCTCTTCACCATCTATCATGATGCTTTCAATGGGCCTAGTGGTGAGAATCTTTGTTTTCTTGATATTGAGCCTCAGTCCATATTGAAGGCTACAGTCCATGACCTTCTGCATCAAGTGCTTCTAGTCCTCAGTTTCAGCAGGGTTGTGTCATCTGCATAACGCAGATTGTTGAGTCTTCCTCCAATCCTGATGTCACGCTTCTCATAGAGCCTAGCCTCTTGGATAATTTGTTCTGCATACAGATTGAAAAGGTATGGAGATAGGACATATCCCTGGTGTACACCTTTCTCAGTTTTGCCCCATGCAGTGTTTCCTTGCTCTGTTCTGATGACTGCCTTCTGGTCCAAGTATAGGTTTCACATTAGCATGGTCAAGAGTTCTGGGATTCTCATTCTTCTCAAGAGTTAGTCACAGTTTGTTGTTATCCGCACAAATGCCTTTGCATAATCAATGAAACACAGATATCTCTGGTACTCCCTCCTTTTAGCCAAGATTCATTTAACTACAATATTCATTTAGCTACAATATTGCTAGTACCATGACCCCTTAATTCAGCCTGCACTTCAGGCAGTTCTCTGTTGATGTGCTTTTCCAGTCATTTTTGGATAATCTTCAGAATCTTGCTTGCATGTAAAATTAATGATATTATTAATGATAGATCATATGATCTATTATGCTGGAGATGAAAAGGTGAGGGAAAAGGAGGTTGTTTCATAGTTAAAAAAGTCATTTCTAGATGTGTCTTGAAATACAGTATTGTGAGTTACAGGATAATATTTATACACATATAAGGAAGTCCAGTGAATACCACTATCATTCAGATATATGCACCAACAACCAAAGCCAAAGAAGGGGAAATAAAAGATTTCTACCAATTTTTGCATTCAGAGATCAATCAACATGCATTAATAATAATGGGTGACTGGAATGCAAGAGTTGGGAACAGAGAAGAATCAGTAGTCAGAAAATATGGACTTGGTGACAGAAATGAAGCTGGAGATAGAATGATTGAAATTTGTACAATCAATGATTTATTAATTTCAAATACATTTTATAAGAAACAAATGCAAGTTATACACATGAATTTTATCTGAAGATATGCATAGGAATCAGATTGATTACATCTGTATAAAGAACCGCTGGAGGAGCTCAATATGAGCTGTGAAAACTAGGCCAAGTGCTGATTGTGGAACAGAACACCAACTACTCATATGCAAGTTCAAGCTGAAGCTAAGGAAAATTAAATCCATAGGAACCAAAATATGACCTTGAGTCTATCCCACCTGAATTTCAAAACCATGTCAGGAACAGGTCTGAGGCCTTGAACACCAATGAGTGAAGACCAGATGAGTTGTGGGAGGATATCAAGAATATCATCCAAGAAGAGTGTAAAAAGTCATTACAAATACAGAGGAGGAAGAAAACACCAAAATGGGTGTTAGAAGAGACTGAATATTGCACTAGAGTGCTGAGAAGTCAAAGCAGAAGAAAGAAATGAAGATATTAAAGAGCTGAACAGAAGATTTCAAAAGTCAGTGCAGGAAGACAAAGGGAAAGTATTACAATGAAATGTGCAAGGAGCTGGAGTCAGATAAACAAAAGGGGCCAAACTTGCTCAGCATTTAAGCTCAAAGAACTGAAGAACAAATTCAAACTTTGAGTTGCAATACTTAAGGATGCTTTGGGCAGAATATTAAATGATCCAGGAAGTATTAAAAGAAGATGAAAAGAGTATACAGAGTCATTGTACCAAAAGGAATTGTCAGAGACAGAATTTCATGAAACAACATATAAGCAAGAGCCTATGGTGATGAAGAAGTTAAAGGTGCTTTGAAAGAATTGGCAAAAAGTAAGGCCCCAGGAATTGATGGTATACCAGTTGACATAGTTCAACAGATGCTGCCTAAATGTACTCACCAAGTTGTGCCGAGAAATCTGGAGGACAACCACTTGGCCAACTGACTGGAAGAGACCTCTATTTTTTCCCATTCCAATGAAAGGTGATCCAACAGAGTGTGGAAATTATTGAACAGTATCATTAATATCACATACAAGCAAGATTCTGCTGGAGATCTTCTTGATACTAATTTTTAAATTGATGGTATTTTTGTC